ATATATATATATATATATATAGTGAAATCTTTTTCCTTTGGTTTTGACAACATAGGGCAAAAAGACAGATCACATTGCTGGACTCCACTGATCTGAATCCACTCATCTTGGGATAAAAACATGAAGTTTGTTGAAGATGTGAAGAGATAAATAATTAGCTAATGAATTGTGTTATTCCTGTGAACAAAATTGCCCATTAAATAATTCTCAGACGACTGGAGATTCATACAATAACAATGTAGTAATTGATTGTTCTTTAATGCTAAATGACTGTTAATTAGGCCAATGATGTTTGGCAGGAACTACATCTAATGTATCAGAAGTTTTAGCACGTAGAGACTACCATGCAATTACTAATTATGTGAAGCAGATTCCTTTTGTTTGTCTTTGAGATTTCTATTCTGATATCTACTTCCTATTCCATAGCTGGTGCAATAAGATTGCATCTACGATGATCATGTAACTTTTCCTGAATTGATCCTCATTGACATACTTACACTTTCCCCTTTGACATTTCCATTCAATCAAATTTCGTCTTCACCACTCACTTTTATCAAAAAAAAAAAAAAATCCTATAAATATTACTTTAGAAATAAATTGAACTCTGTGTAAAGGGTTTGAAGAGTATTTTTTTTGAACTATCATTTTTTTGTTTTGTATTTTCTCTAAGAAAATATAAAAAAAGTGTTTAAAAGAGGCATGTGTTAGAAACGAAGAGGCTCTGATACCATATTAGAAAATATCTTAGCAAGATGAGAGGTATCAAAAAAATAAAAAAAGTATCGAGGAGAATAGAAAATCTTCAAAAATAAAAAAATGATTGAATATATAGATGTTGGAGTATAAATCAAACTTTGTGATTAGACAAAATTTTTGGTTTAAGAGTCTTAGTTAAACCAAGAATCCTTACCGTTGAAGTTAAAATTTGGAGTCTCTTCTCTATAAGAGCTCCTGCATGCTTTAGGCATACAATTTGGGTGGAAAGATTAAGTAGAGCTTATGCTTAGATATCTAGAGTTTAAATGAAAGATTTGAAGTTTTGTGTTTAATAATTTTTTTTGATTTTTGAAGTATTTCTATATTCATCTAGAGCATATGCTTAAATACTCCTATATGATTTCTTAATGCCCACCACCCTTACGAGAGATTTCCTCTTATGATATTAAAGATTTTTGATTTCTAACATGCTATCAAAGCTTTGATTAGATCCTCTTAGAGAGATAAATAGATTTATAGAGAGAGAAATAAAACTATAGAGAGAGAAATATGACCATTTTAGAGAGAGAAACCTTGATGTTAGAGAGAGTCATAGAGAAAGAAAATTAGAAGAGAGAGAAACTCTAAAGAGAAAATATAAGGAGAGAGAAAATTCGAGGAGAGAAAATTCTTAAGGGAGAAAAATTACTAGATCACTATAACATTGATTAATTGGCAGAGAAAGATCAACATATTGTAAATTTGAGTACTTAAAAAAAAAAGGATTGAAAGCATGGATGATGATTTATTTTGAATATTATCACCTAGATTTAATGGGAAAAATATTAAAGATAAAAAAATATGATAAAAATTTTTCTTGGGTCAGAATGTTTAAAAGCAATTATCTTGAATAGTTTTAAAGATGTGATAAGCAATACATATTTTAAGTTATTCTTTGAAGAATAGAAAGAAAAGTTTATTTTTAACTAAGAAGAAAATAAAAAAGCATTGAAACTTTTCTCTTAATCAATACTAGATGAAAGTATTATTTCATGAATCTCTAAAACATGAAAAGAAACTTGGTTGATATTAGAAGATATTTATAAAAGAGGTATATATCCTTTCATGAAGATAAATTAGAAAAATTGTATCACATAGAATTTGAAGACAATGAAAATATCTCAATTAAAGATATTAGGATTAAACAAGATTTAGACTACGACTTAGATAATATTAATTTTC